CCCCAGCGGTTGCGGTCGCATGCCGCCACCCGTTCACGTTGGCACATCCCTCACACGTGCCATGGCCCCCTTAGGGAGCTCCACTGAAGGCCCAAGTGGCTGCGCCCGCATGTCTTCTCGTGCGTCTCCCGATGCCTGTCAGCCGCAACAGGTTATATCAGCATGTGACCCAGTTCGTCTGACCTCCGCACCCCCTGCCGGCGGCCCCAGCGGTAGCGCCCGCATCTCGGCCCCGCCCCATTCCGGCGTTCCCGTCACGCGTCTCGTGGCCCCGCAGGGAGCTCCACCGAAGGCGGTTCTCACAACGGCCGTTCTCACGACGTCATGTGGTCGGGTCTTTCGCCAGGATACTGTACGCCGTTCTTCGTCTGCTGAACCACGTCAGGCGTGTCTGCAGGTCCCCGCCAGGGGGGCCCTTCTTGGGACCCAGGCCTCGGAGCGTCGCGACAGATCGCGACCGGCGCGTGCGAGCAGCTCCGGCATCCAGGGAGCGTGGTCGGGACTTGGGGTCAAATATCTCGGGAGCGGCAAAGAGGGGGGTGATGACTAGGGGGGGGGGATATCATGGCATGGGCCATGATGTTTCCCCAGATTTCATGGCGCCTCTTCTTATTTCATTACGTCCCTGGCCCCCCCGCTGGGCCGCGCACATGCCGCCGGTCATGATTTGCACCCCCCCTCTTGGACACCCCCCTCTTGGCGCTCCCGAGTAAACAACTGCCCTGGGCGAGCAGACATTCCATCGAGATGAAACACCGAAGACATACTCATTATTTGAAGTCCAACATGTGAAATGTGCTTAAAGCCTGTGGGAATAGCATATGGATGTAAGTCAGCGTGGATCTCACATAGTAGTCTCCTACAAGGTTATGTGGTGCAATCTAGGTGGTGCTATCAATGCGGTGCAATCTGGTGGTACATAATCTAGTTGGGGGAACATACGTGGTGCGAAGCGATAAAAAGCAAAGCGATGAAACGCACATCGATGCCAAGCAATGCAATGGGATTGCAAAACAACGTCAAGCAATGCGACGCAATGGAACGCAATGACAAGCAGCGCACATCAATGCAAATTCATACAAAGCAATGTAAAGCCACGCAATGTGATTGCAATGCCATGCAAAGCAATTCAAAGGACAGAAACTCAATGCAAAGCAATGCGAAGCATCGCAAAGCGATGCGAAGCTTTACAATGCAATGCAATGCGGTGCAAAAACACATGCAATGCAATGCAATGCAATGCAAAGCAAAGCAATGCAAAGTGCGAGCCTCGTACAGTCAAAATCGAAACCAAGGACCACGAGCCAGCCAGACCGATAACCGGGCCCAGTTCTTCAGAAGAGAAGAGGCCCTAAGTGCAAAACGGTGATTGGGTTCACATCTATGTACATATATTTATATTGATATCCATATATGGATATTATGTTTATTTATATATGTGTGCATTCATAATTATACATGTATCCGAGGTGATGTCGTCAAGTTGATCCATCACGCACAGATGCATCAAGCTGGCGTGCGCAGAGGAGCAGCAGTTGCAGCGACCCGTCTCAGCCGTTTCTGGTCAAGCGTGTTATTCCGTCGTCTTCCGGAGGGGGCGCATCCAGATAGGGTTGTCCGGGGGGGGGGCCAGATTTGATACATGATATGATTGTTCCCCCGTGCGATATCACATCGGGGAAACATAAGATTCGAGTACGCTCGAACTCTGGTTTCCAACGCTTTTCGACGGGCCCGTCCTGGATTTTGTCAGTCCAGTTTTCATGGGATGTCTGCATCGGAAATTCGCTTCAAATCTCAGATTGGGCCTCGTCATTTTCCTGACAGCCCCGTCAGGCCAACCCGAGTTCCCTGAACCCGAGTCTTACGTCTCCCCGATCATACTTTCCTATCGTTGAGACAGGGCTGTCCGGGAGGCTACACAGATCCCTTTACACAATACGATTGTTCCCCCATGCGATATCATAGTTGCCCTTCGGTCAGGTTCCTTCGGACGGGGCTACAGAGCGTTCTGGAACGCTCTCAGAGCGTCCAGAAACGCCACAGAAGGCCGCAGCGCCCAGGGTATTCTCCAGAGCCGCCGGACCTCAGAGATTCCGGATGTGCCTTCACCCGAACTTATTCTCGCCCTTGCTTCGTCTTAACTTCCAGACATCCAACGACTCGATTTTTTCGAGACACGGGCCCCCGACCTTCCGACCACTTCCCCGGGACCGGTGTTTCACCCCGAGTCGTTTTTTGACGGTCCCGAGGCCCGGAGAGGGCTCCGAGAGGCCCCAAACTGTGCAAAGCTTCCGTCTCGATGCTTTCGGGACGCCCGATGTCTGGGCTCGCCCATGCTCGCCAGTGCCCCCCCGGGGCCGGCTGCGCTGGCGCCGGCGACCGCTGCGCCGCCGCCGAGGAGCCGGGGCCCCTGCAGGGGTGCGGCCGCGCGGGCCGTCGCGGTGGGCGCCGCGCTCGCGGGCCAGCGCGCTGCGGCGAAGGGAGGCCGCCGCCAGCCTGTGGCGCGCGGCCGGGCGGCCGAGGGGCGAGCGGCGAGCATCGGAGGAGGAGAAGGCACCGATACCGCTACAGTCGGGTATATATATATATATATATATATATATATATATAGGGGGGGGGAGGCCGCATGCGAACCCTGCCCCTACCCCCCGCGACTTCTGAGGGCAGGGTGGGGCGCACTCTGCTCGGGAGCTCCCGAACAAAGTGAACCCCACCCTGCCCCTCAGAAATCGTGGGGGGCAGGGGTAGGGTTCGCATGCGGGCCCCCTAGTGCATCAGGAGGGAAAATGACACACAGACACAATGAATCGTCGATCCCCAGAAGATATGGGGAAATATGGGAAGTGGGGGGGAGACGAGAACCCAGAAAAGATGGGAAAATGTGGAGACTCCTTTTATTTGTGTATATTCATTTGTGTGTCCCAGGGCCCCTTTAGTATAGCCGGGACCCCAGGTATTGGGACCCCAGGTATTGGGACCCAGTGAGTGGTAGGGCCCCGGAGCCCTTCAATTGGCCAGAGTCATGCCGCTGCTGGTGCTATTTCGGGTGACGGAAGTTCCGGTTATTGGCGCGGGGCTTGGGGGCGCCCCCCAGTGCACATCACTAAACCAGCTCCCACTGAACCTGGTTCTGCCAACGCCCGATACAGTCATCCCGCATAGTAAGGAAGGGTGGCCTTCCCAAGGGCACCCTTGCATCCTTGCCCCGTTCGGCCCATCCTTAGCGGCGTTCGCTGGCCAACCTCATTCGGAAAACGTTCAACGTGGGCCTCCAGGGCCCTGGCATCCTCAACGCGCACCCTTATGATACGGACCGACTGTACCTCTTCAACCGGTTCCCCTCTTTCTGGGAGGCCATCGCCGCCGCCGCTGGGTTCGCCTCGAGGTCCTGGTCAGAACGCGCCCCACGAGAGGTCTGGGGAGTAATGGTGCTACCGGACCGAGGCATGGGGTCGAGGTCGGCTCGGGGAGGGGGCCCTGATATGCTTCGTGTCTGCTGGATGCTCCCCTGCATCCTGGGGGAGGGCACCCTGGGATGTTCTGCGTGTCTGGGCCTGCGGAGGGTCTCCTGCTCTTGGAGGAATGATTTTACCAGTTTGAAACATATCCCTATCCCTATCCCTATCCCTATGTTTGACATCACCTCACCTCGATGCCGATCTTAAGGATTCCCTCAGTTTCTGAGGGCCTATCCCTAAGATTGTCCTCGCTTTTTGCTCGCCCATCTTAGGGATAGGGATACGTTCGAGGCTGGTTATAATTGGCTCCGAAGAACCTCCAAGCCATCATTCTCCCGGGATCGCCCCCGGAGGGCACCAGAACGGCCCCCAGCGGGCCCCCGAAGGCCCCCAGGGGGCCCCCGAAGCGCCCCAAGAGACCCCCAAGGTCGAGGCCCCCAAGCGAGCCGCACACCCAAAGGCCCCCAAGGAGCGCCCGAAGAGGCCCCGGGACTGCCTTGGGTCCGGCCGTCTCTCGGCGGCGAGCGAGGGGGGGGTCGGGGGCGGAAAAGAGGGGGGTAATGGCTAGGGGGGGGGGGGATATCATGGCGGGGGCCATGATATTTTCCTCAGATTTTATGGCGCCTCCTCGTATTTCATTGCGTCCCTGGCCCCCCCGCTGGGCCGCGCACATGCCGCCGGTCATGATTTGCACCCCCCCCTCTTGGACACCCCCCTCTTGGCCGCTCCCGAGGGGGGGGAAAGTGAGAAGGAAAAGGCCTGCTCAGAAGGTTCGGAAGTCCCCCGGCCCTCTGAGAAGTCTTCTGAGCCCTCCCCGAAGACAGGAACATAACCTCTCTCAGAAGGCGCGGGGGGACTTCGGACAAGTCCCGCTGCCTTCTGAGAAGGCCTTTTTTGGGTGGAGGGCTAAGGGTGAAGTCTGAAATGCCGTTTCGATGGATTTTCGAGGTTCGAATCTGGGCTGATCACAAGACGGATCGACTTCCGAGGTGCCAAAACCCGTATGGATTCCACCCCGAGCCCTCCAGCCTCAGAAAATGCTCAGTCCTTCTCGCTCCCCCCCTCGCTCGCCGCCGAGTATCGGGCCGGACGAAAGGGGGGATTGGGAAAGGGGGGGTTACGAAATCTGCTGCATGCAGCTGGTTTCGGCCCCGCCACCGGGCCCGTTCCTCGAGGCCTGGCCGCCTCCCGGCGCCGGGAGGCGCCGGGAAAATCAGCTATACGCGAGCTCCTTCTCAGACCCCCCCTTTCCCTGACCTTCCAGGAGGTCTAAACAATAGCACGCGACTTAAAAACCTATCCCAGAGCTATTCTATGTCTTGGTTTTAGGCTATTTCGTTTCGTTTTTTAGGTTTTTAGGCCTCCCGTGCTAAAAAATAGCTCTCTGGAAAGTCAGGGTATGCTATCCCCCCCTCTCGCCCGGCCTGAGCGCATCCGTGCCTTCTGCTCTCCCCCGCGAGTGGCCGCGCGCTCGTGCCGGCGCGCGCGGCCGCCGCCGCCGCGGGCGGGGGCGGCCGCCCCGCCCCCCGGGCTCCGGAGGCCGTGCCCGGCCCGGCCGACCCTCGGGTGGCCCTGTACTGGCCGTGGCTGCCGGGGGGCGAGGCTCGGCAGCGGCAGCTGCGCCAGGAGAGCGGGTATTCCGCTCTTTTTTATCTGATCTCTCTTCTTCATCTGTATGTGTTTTATCCCGCCGTTGTTTAATATCCGCTTCGATCGCCCCGATAGGGGGCCTCATGCGAACCCTACCCCTACCCCCCACGATCTCTGAGGGGAGGGTGGGGTTCACTCCGCTCGGGAGTTCCCGAACGAAGTGAACCCCGCCCTTTCCCTCAGAAATCGTGGGGGGTAGGGTTTGGACGCCCGAAATGGGCACGGAAAGAATGGGTACAATGCCCAACAGCAGCTCTTGCTTATTCTGAACCGGATTCGCTGTCCACGCCGCCGCGGCCTGTGTCCATTCGAGACAGGAGGCCGCCTGCCCAACAGCGGCCGCTGTTGGTTTGGGACAACAGTTGTTGTTGGGCACTGTACCCGTTCTTTCCGTGCCCATTTCGGGCGTCCAAACCCTACCCCCCACGATTTCTGAGGGAAAGGGTGGGGTTCACTTCGTTCGGGAGCTCCCGAGCGGAGTGAACCCCACCCTCCCCTCAGAGATCGTGGGGGGTAGGGGTAGGGTTCGCAGAAGGCCCCCTTATCGGGGCGATCGAAGCGGATATTAAACAACGGGATAAAACACATACAGGTGAAGAAGAGAGATCAGATAAAAAAGAGCGGGATACAAACAAAAACAATAACGTAAAGATACCTCCCCGGCGGCGCCTCCGGCGCCGCCCCTGGCGCGCCCCGCGCGCCAGGGACGGGGTCCGGCGACGCTCCTCGCACTCCGCGCGCTACGGAGAGAATCCCTCCGCCTCCACCTTCCACACCTTCCGACCTCCGCGGAAGGTGCGGAGGGAGTCATCGATATGCATGGAAGCCCTACGCAATTCAAGGAAACCTACCTAGATCATATCGAAAGAGGGGCGGATGGCTATAGGGCGGAAGGTCCAGAAGAAGGAGGGAGAGGGATGGGCATTCCAAATCTCACTGAAGCGGGGGGGTCGAAAAGTGTTTGACAGCACGTCTGGGATCCCCTCAGAGCGGCGCAACGATGTGCCCAACATCGAGACCCCCCCCCAACAGTCTTGTTTGACGAGGCCCGTGAGACCCTTTTTCAAGGTACCCCCCCAAAGACTGACAGCAGTCCCTGTTCATTTCGAACAGGACTCGATGTCCGTGTCGCCGCGGGTTGCGTCCACTGATACAGAAGGCCGCCTGCCCAACAGCGGCCGTTGTTGGTTTGGGCCAACATGTGTTGTTGGGCATCTAATTTTTTTTTCCGTACAAATTTCTGGCGCCCCAAGGAAATCGTGGCCACACGTGGGTGCGATGCGGGTTGTTGCAGGGTGGACGTGCACTACAGTTGGGACTGCCTCAGGCGGCTCTGCCAGGCGCGCGAGGAGGCTGGCAAGACAATCTATGTCGATTCGGTCGTCGTGCCAGAGGATGCGCCAGAGGAGTTGCTTCGGCTAGCGTGGACCTCGTCACCAAAGGTGTACAGTGTGGGCAAAAAGCTCATGGTGAAGCACGTGTGCGCTGAGGGGTCTGGGAGAAACAGTTGCATGTTCACCACCATATTTCCAGTATCCAGGCCCTTGGCCGCACTGCGAGCCCCGGTGATAGTGCTGGAAGACGCGGAGTCTGCCAGCGTCGTGGGGCAGATCCTCCGGACTGCCTACCACTTCGGGGTGGACTCGGCCGTGGTCTCCGAGTCCGTGTGGGACATGCTGGGCGGCCGCGCGTGCCGCGTGTCGATGGGCTGGGCATACCACCTGGACTTCCACGTCGCGCTCTCCATGCCCACCGCGCTGCGCGGCCTGCGGGCGCGGGGCGTCGAGCTCTTCGCCGTGGCGCCCGCGAGGGGCCCCTGCGCGGCCGGCCCCCGCGCGGCGCACCGCGGCGGGTGGGGGCTGGTGGTGGGCCGGAGGGGGGCGCCAACCCGTAGACGCAGCGAATCGCCGGCTCCACAGGAAGAGATGCGGGAACCTGTGGGAAGCGAGGCGATCGCGAACCTGGGCTCTGGGGTCAAGTCGGGCCTCTCCCTCCACGGGGGGGTGTTCAAACATATGCAAAAAGATAGTCCAGGGACTATGTTTGGAGCATTTGTTGACCATGTTGGTGTTTTTTATTTTTTATTCTTCGTCGAAAATACCCCTGTAGGGGGACGCACCTGACTTAACTCTAAGGGGGCGTGGACTGGCGACGGGCCCCGCTTCCATGGGAGATCGCGGATGTCCGCCGCCAAGAGCGGCGGCACCGGCCGCATGTTGGGGAGGGCACCTCCCCAGATCCATGGATTGCCAAATCCACTGATCTCTAATCCATGTTTGCGCGCCCCGGAGGGAAGTTGGGGGGGAAGACGAGAACCCAGGAAAGATGGGAACATAATCATGGGGAGTCGTTGGCTTTGTGTCTGTCTGGTGGTGCGTCCCTGGGCCCCCTTCAGGTTTAAGTCGGGCCTGTCCCTCTACAGGAGGAATGTTCAGAGATAGTCAAAAATTAGTCCAGGGACGGTTTTCCGATGATTTTGTAACAATGTTTTGATATCTTTTGGATATGTCTGATTTTTCGTCCAAGATCCGCCTGCAGGGGACACGCCCGACCTAAAAATAGGGGAAAATCATGGGGAGTCCTTGGCTTTGCGACTGTCTGGTGGTGCGTCCCAGCCCCTTTTATTCAGGAGGGAAGATATGCACACAGACAGAATGCATCGTCGACTCCCAGGAACATGTGCGAAGATATGGGAAGTGGGGGGGAAGGCAGAGACCCAGAGAACATGTGAAAAGAGGGGGGATCCTGGGATGTGTGTGTAGTTATGTGTGTGTCCCCCTGGGCCCCCTTCCTTTCTAGGTGGGCCGCGGCGGCGCGCCCTCCGCCGCGGCGCTGGCACAGTGCGGCGGCCGCGTGCCCGTGGCCCTGCGCCGGGAGGGGGGCCTGGCCGCGGCGCAGGCCGCTGCGCTCGGCCTCTACGAGCTCGGGGCCCGCGGGGAGGGCGCCGGCCCCGGCCCCCGGGCGCGAGCAGAAGTGCGGTGGAAAAGACCAGCCACACTCAGAGCCCAAAATCATCAGGGGTAACTCGGGTCAGGGCTAACTCGGGTTAGCTTTTCGGGAACCCAAACCCGAGTTACCCCGGACCCGAGATACCCCGGATAACTCGGGCGCCCGGAGCCCCAAAATCATCAGGGGTAACTCGGGTCAGGGCTAACTTGGGTTCCTTTTTCGGGAACCCAAACCCGAGTTACCCCGGACCCGAGATACCCCGGATAACTCGGGCGCCCGGAGCCCCAAAATCATCAGGGGTACCTCGGGTCAGGGCTATCTTGGGTTCCTTTTTCGGGAACCGAAACCCGAGTTACCCCGGACCCGAGTTACCCCAGATAACTCGGGCGTCCAGAGCCCCAAAATCATCAGGGGTACCTCGGGTCAGGGCTATCTTGGGTTCCTTTTTCGGGAACCCAAACTCGAGTTACCCCGGACCCGAGTTACCCCGGATAACTCGGGCGCCCAGAGCCCCAAAATCATCAGGGGCAACTCGGGTCAGGGCTAACTCGGGGTCCTTTTTCGGGAACCCAAACCCGAGTTACCCCGGACCCGAGTTACCCCGGATAACTCGGGCGCCCAGCCCCAAAATCATCAGGGGCAACTCGGGTCAGGGCTAACTCGGGTTCCTCTTCCGGGAACCCAAACCCGAGTTACCCCGGACCCGAGTTACCCTGGATAACTCGGGCGCCCAACACACGCAGAGGCTGTTTTGCAGTGGCAGCGAGGCTTGGTTCCAGGGTGGCAAGCAAAAGCTCGAGCGGCAGCGATGCTCGGTTCCTATCATCGTTTCGATGTCGTTTTGCAGCTCGAGGCCGCGAGCAGAAGTGCTCGGGGCCAAGGATATGGGGATAGGCATAGAGGGGGAGATGCATCGACCCCAATAGCCCACTGATCGCCGATAGGGGCCCGATAGCCCCAACCTGCCCAGGAAGGTTCGGATTCACCATCGGGGGCCTATCGCCGAACCCGCCGATCTATCAGCGATGTATCGCCGATTCCAGGTCGATACATCCCCCCCTATGCCAGCCCGCCCCCTATCGTTGCCTCTCGAGTGCGAGAAAAAAGCTCACGGGCTGCAGTGGCAACGAGGCTCGGCTGCAGGGTGATGACAAAAAACTCCAGTGGCAACGGTGCTCGTTTCCTATCACGCTCGAGCCTCTACCTACTGGAACGAAGAATGGCATGAACATAACAACTCAGAGGTCCGCTCTGGGTCCCCCGCGCCCCTGGCGCGTTCAGTGCGCCAGGGAGGGGGGTCCAGCGCCGATCCGAGAATTCCGCGCGGACCTCCGAGTTTTTATGTTTATGTCGTTCTTCGGTCCCCTGCTGCTGGTCCTCCACCTCACGCCGGCAGCATGCCTCGGCAGTCGTGCCCACGACCCCTGCCTCCAGGTCGAAGTGCGGGAGGCGGATGCCTCCATCGGGGAGCACGAGCCGAGGCGTGAGCAGCTCTGCTGAGGGCTCCCGAGTCCGTTCAGAGAAGGTTGGGGACGTAAAGCGGGTAATGAGCGGCAGACGATTATATGTATGCCGTTGTTTCTGCTGCCAGGTCGGGGACGCAGCTTCACCAGGTGAGCCTGGTCGGACAGTGCCCGAACTCACGAACTTCTATGGCCTTGGCTCTGACCGCACCCCTCACCAAAGTATGGTCGAGTCGGGAGGTGATGGCGCGCTGGGGGAGAGGAACGGCGAGGCGAAGAGGAAGTACGCGTCGGAGCTCTATAAGCGGTTCCTGCAAGCAGGGCGTATGGGATTGCGGAGTGGTCGTTTCTGTTCGTATCCCCCTTATCACCCTCTCTGTCTCTTCACGTAGCTGTTTGCACGTAACAGTGTTGTCAGAGTTTCTGCGTCCTGGTGCGCTCGAGACCATTCATGGTCGCCCGGGGCCCGAGCGAGTCGGGCGGTGACAGGATAGCTGAAGCTCGTTTCCGAAGACAAGAGAAGACCATAACGCCTCGGTAGCAGATGTCGTCAGTTCCTAATGTCGAGGTCCCACTCTGTTTTCATAGCCACATACATGGATCCCGGCGCCATTGACGTGTTAGTGAGAGTTGCAAGTTCAAGGCAAGATCAGATCTTCTCTCCCAGGGATGCGTTATCCCAGTATCCCCAGAGGTGTAGTCAACAACAAGAGTGCGAAGTGGGCCCGTGCCCAACGAGCCTTGCGATGACGCCGCCCTCCCTGTCCAACTCAGTCAGCCTCCGACCGGCGTTGGAAGCAGCGCAGGGCTCGGGGAGGGTGTCTTGATGTCTCTCGTTGTTGTTGGGTGCTCTCGTGCATCACGGGGGGAACCCTCGAATGCGCTTCGGCTCGGCCAGCGGAGGGCCTCGTGCTCTTGAAGGATTGCCTTCCATCCCAGGTCTGGCCGTACGTCAGCGATCTTCAGTCGTCCTTCTCAGACGCATCCTTCCCATTCGGCCCATCTTTGGCCGCTCCCGCTGGCCGCGCCCCGCTCGCAGCGTCGGCTTGGCCTTCCAAGGCCCCTGCATCAATCTCGTGCGTCCTCACTATACGGGTTGACTCTACCTCAGCGATCTTCAGACGTCCACTTTTTAGACGGCAGATAACCGTCCATCGAGTCGTCACCCCCATGGAGGAAGGGGAGGAGAAGGAGGAGGAGGAGGAGCAGGAGCAGGAGGAGGAGGAGGAGGAGGAGGAGGAGGTGAGGAGGAGGAGGAGGAGGAGGAGGAGGAGGAGGAGGAGGAGGAGGAGGAGGGGAGGAGGGGAGGAGTAGGAGGGGAGGAAAAGGAGGAGGAGGAGGAGGAGAAGGAGGAGGGGATGAGGAGGAGGAGGAGGAGGAGGAGGAGGAGGAGGAGGAGGAGGGGGAGGAGTAGGAGGAGGAGGAGGAGGAGGAGGAGGAGGAGGAGGAGGAGGAGGAGGAGGGGGGGAGGAGGAGGAGGAGGAGGAGAGGAAAAGGAGGAGAGGAGGGGGAGGAGGGGAGGGCGAGGAGGAGGAGGAGGAGGAGGAGGAGGAGGAGGGAGGAGGAGGAGGAGTGACTTCTCTCTGCTCCTGCTCCTTCCCGCCCTCCCTCGCTCTTGACGGCGGCCCCCCCCGAGCTCTCGTGGCAGCCTGAGCTTCGTCGGGTGGCTAGTCGCCTGGCTCGGAACTGCCCCCTCGGGCTCGCCCGGGGCCCTGTCGGGTGCTTGCCTTCCCTGCCCGGGACGACCGTTCGCCACTTGGGAAGCGCCAGAGGAGGAGAAGGTACCCATACCTCTGCCCTTCGCCCGTTTCCATCTTTTGGGGTTTCCTGGGAGGCCCTCGTCGGCTCCGCTGGATTCGCCTCCAGATCCTGGTCAGAACGCGCCCGGGCCGCCCCGGGAGAGGTCCGGGGAGTAGCGGCATCGGTATCTCTTTAGGTTTCCCCACAACGGGTCCTGAGGGAAACGGGTCTTGAGGCTGGTCGCCGTTTTCGGGGTCTCGGGGCCTTGACCTTGCACGGGCCCCGAGACTGCAAAAAAACGACTCAGCATGGAGATCCCGTCCTGGGGGAAGGCCCCAGAGTTCAGGATCCGTGGTCCATGTCCCCCAGGACCGGTTTCCCTCATGTTAAGACCCTCCCCGCGAAAATCTGGTTGGCCCAGGCGCGATTGGCTCATCGCCGAAGGCCCTGGGCGGTGTCGCGAGGGCTCGCACTCGTGGCCGCCGTGCTCGTTCTGGCTTTCCTTCTCCTGCTCCGGTTCCCACTCCTGCGCGTCGGCGACCAGTCTCGCGTGCAAATGGACGTTTGTGAGCGCTGGTCTAATTCTGGCGGTGGGATTGAGACGGAAGACCCTGCAGGCTGCTCGTCCGGTCTTGTGCGTCTCCAGCTCTGGTTTTTCCCCTCTGCACTCGCACCGCAACGCCACCTTCCTGGCAGCACGCCTCCAGGTTCATGCTGGAATGCACCGGGACGCACGTGGGCTGAGGCGTGTGCATCACGGGACTTGCACAGGGATCTCTTCAAGGAAGTGTCAGCGCTTCAATCGAGGGAGAGTTGCATGTCGATGTTACTTTGAATCATTGGGTAGTGGATGTTGGCAGAAGGACTGAAAGACGGGCTAGCGCACGCAAGAGAGGTGGATGGAAAAACGGATGCAGCATTGCACAGATACGTTCGATTGGCGGAATTATGATAGATGGATGGACTTCGATTGATACGGGTGGATGGACACGTGGACCGTTGGACGCATGAATCCAAAGTTGATTCGTTGGTTGGTTGGTTGGCCCGTTGGATGCTTGCATGAGCGAGCAGTTGAATGGACGGACGGTGGGATCGACGATTGGCGAACGTGCGGAGAGGCCAATCGTTTGGACTAGCAAGTGAGTGGGCAGGTGGTGTGTGGACGGGCGGATGGTTGGATAGGCTTGTCTCGTGGCGAACGTGCCGCAACAGTGACGAACGAAAGAACAACACACACACACACCCACAGGAGGGTCGGAGGGAGGAGGACTGGCTACGGGTATGGGGCGCGGGTTGTCGGACCCTGGGGGAGGCTCCCGTTCGAATGGGGGCCCCCATCCGACAACACTCACCCATAGACCGCCCTGTCCCCCCCTGTGGGTATGGGTGCGTGTCATGCGCTCGTCTAAACAAGATGCTGCGAGGGATCATCGCCACGGGGGTGAAGGCCCCTGATTCTTACGAGGGGATCGTGGTCTCGGGATGGAGAGCGTCGTGGTGAATGTGTGGTCTGCGATGGGTGGATGACGTCGGTGGAGCAGCAGATGAATGAATGGTTTTCTGGTTGGATGCTGGTGTGTTGGCTGCTAGTGGGGGGCGACGGTGGATGTGCCAAGTTCCCGTTGAGCTTTCGGCCGCATTGCCGTACGCCAGTTGGCGTGCATGCCAACTTTGTAGGGTTGCCAGGGCCCATCGCGGAGCCCTCAGGAGGGGGAAGGGGGGCGGATTGGATTGATGGGCGCAAGGACGGTCTCCTGAGCACCGCGTTGTCTTTTCGAGAGGGCGTGGCAGCCCTACTTCCCCCTCACCGCCCCTCATCCTGTCCCTCCCCGCCCCCCTACTCCCCCTGCCCATCTTGTTCCTTCTCCCCCCCCCCCTTCCACATCACTTCTCCCAGTCTGAAGTACTTCCCGTTTCCTCGTCGCATCCCCTCTCTCTGTCTCTCTCTCTCTCTCTCGCACTCTCGTTCTTTATTTCTACATGTGAACATACATATATATACTTATATATATGTGTATATCCATAGTTACATTCCTCCCTCACTATCCCTCTCTCCATCCTATCCCTATCAGAGTGAGGCCGAAACATCATTCATTGTTCCTGGGCGCGTGGCTGAAGTGAGGATCTGCGGCGCGGATTGTTGTTGTCGTTGTTGTTTGTGTTATTGTTGTTGTTGCGGCTCCTGTTGTTGCTGCTGTTGTTGTTGTTGTTGCGGAAGTGTCACTGCGGACGAACAAGTATTGTTGATCCCCCCTTCCGGGGCACATTGTATTCGTTCAATTGAAATGCCCTTCCCGGGGCTCGCACCCTGATTCTTTTTCCGGGGAAGTCTTGGGTCTCAGAGTTGAGCCCTTGGCCCCCAGGATACAACAACAACGGCTCCTGTATGATAGGTCCTCAGAAGAATGTATTTACAAATCGCGCTCTCGCGCGGGACGTCTTCACAATGTATGCAGAAATCGCGCTCTCGCGTGGGACGCCATCGCGATTTATTCCCAACCCTCCTGCGTTGGGTACTCGTTTTGAATAGAGCACTGCGGTCTCCGTTCTCCTCCTCCCGCCCCCCCCTCTCTTCCCTCCTCCTCTCCTCTCTTGCTTGCCTTCTCCTCCTCTCTTCGCTCCTCCTCTTCTCTTCTCTTGCCTTTCACGTCATCCCTGGCGGGCTGCGATCTGCGGAACTGTCACCACTTTCGAGGGCTGCTGGTGGGTCCAGCGGAGTGAGGCACCACGGGGACTCAGATTAGACCTCGCCATCCCTGGGGGGGGGGGGCTGCGATCTGTGAAACTGTCGCCACTTTCGAGGGCTGCTGGTGGGTCCAGCGGAGTGAGGCACCACGGGGACTCAGATTAGACCTCGCCATCTCTGGGGGGGGGCTGCGATCTGTGAAACTGTCGCCACTTTCGAGGGCTGCTGGTGGGTCCAGCGGAGTGAGGCACCACGGGGACTCAGATTAGACCTCGCCATCTCTGGGGGGCTGCGATCTGTGAAACTGTCGCCACTTTCGAGGGCTGCTGGTGGGTCCAGCGGAGTGAGGCACCACGGGGACTCAGATTAGACCTCGCCATCTCTGGGGGGCTGCGATCTGTGAAACTGTCGCCACTTTCGAGGGTTGCTGGTGGGTCCAGCGGAGTGAGGCACCACGGGGACTCAGATTAGACCTCGCCATCCCTGTGTGAAACTGTCGCCACTTTCGAGGCTGCTGGTGGGTCCAGCGGAGTGAGGCACCACGGGGACTCAGATTAGACCTCGCCACCCCTGGGCGGCTGCGATCTGTGAAACTGTCGCCACTTTCGAGGGCTGCTGGTGGGTGGCCAGCGGAGTGAGGCACCACGGGGACTCAGATTCTGACCACGAGCAATGCTCGCGTGCCCTTGCTCTGCGGTTCGTGCCACGTGGCGCTGCGACTCGAGCTGGCGGTCGTCCTTCGGACCCGCAGAAACATCTGCTGAGCTCGATGAGCTAGGGGAACTACAGGAAAGAAGTGCAGGAAACGGAGGCCGGTCATGCACTCGCCGATACCTCGTTGCTCTGTCATCGTCTTTGCTGTTGCATGATCCTTATCTGGCCTGCCGGCGCCGCGGCTCGAGCTGGCGGTCGCCCTTCGGGCCCGCGGGAACATCTTCTGAGACAAGTGGACGCCGCCGCCTTACTTGCAGGCAGCGCATTGCATTCGCGGACAGCAGCATGGCAGACCGCAGTGAGATCCTCAGTCGCGTGGTGTTGCCAAGCCTGGTGGAGACGCGCGTGATCGACCTGAAGTCCCAATCGCGCGTGCACTGTACCTGCGTGGCGTTCAGGCACGCGCGTGATGCTGCTCGCTCCGCGTTCAACCAGTACGTCGCCAGTGCAACTTTGGACGATGGACAACCGATAGATGATACGCGACCCCGGCCTTGAGTTTCTTTCCCGCGGGCCGCCCGCAGACCTGGCGGCGCGCCTGCGAGCGTGCAGCTCCAGCGCTGAAATGTGCGGGAAGGAGGCGGAGAAGCTAGCGGGCGAGCTACGCCTCGCTCGTTCCTTGCACTCTAAACAAGTTCTATCATGTGGAACTCTGCGACGACATGGCGCAGGCAGCGCTGCGGGTTTAGCTCGCACTTGAAAAACGCGGCAGTCTTCTGTCTCCTCCCGCCACTTTCATCGTCGTCCTATTCCCCGCCTCACCTTCTCCATGCATGCTGCTGCTTCCGCGATGGCCTTTCGCCCCCCCCCGCCCTCCATTCCATCCCTCTCCTACCCCTCGTTCCCGTACCCGTTCTTCTTCGATCCTGGGGCCTCAAGCCTCGTTCTTTCGATCGTCGTCCTGTGAGTCGTGCAACGCATGCGCATCCCATGTAGCTTGCACAGCAAATCGCCGCGTCTACACTGTCGCTGTTCCTGCTAATGTTGGCATACTCCTCTTGCCATTTGATGCACGTGGGTTGGGTGCGTCGCAGGGTAATTCAGACGCTTCGCCTTCGACGCTCACGAATCACGCTCCCGCTTTGGCCTATCTCACGATTTGTTTGGGAATCGCGCTATCGCTCGAGATTCGCGATTCATGCACGACTCGCGCTTCAGCAACCCGCCTGCTCGACCCGGCCGCCTGGGCCCGCCTTCCCCCGCTTGTTATGGTCTATTTGCCCGATCTGCCCGTCTGGTTCTGCTCTCTCTCTCTCTCTCTCTCTTTCTCTCTCTCTCTCTCTCTCTTTGTTTCTCTCTCTCTCTCTCTCTCTGTCTCTCTCTCTCTCTCTCTCTCTCTCTCTCTCTCTCTCTCTCTCTCTAGTGCTTCATATTCCTCCCTCCCCATTGTCAGTTTCTTCCATCCGTCCTCTCTTCCTTTGCAGTAGGGGCTGCATGAAATACACGTTTCAGGTAAGGAAGATCTACCTTCAAGGGGGTACGATCGAAGACGAAGAGGGCGGGCGGGTATCGAGGGTTTGGATACACGTGTTGAATCGCAGGCATTCAGATAAGAGCGAGCAGTCGTGAACTGATTGTTGTTGTTGGTGTTGTTGGTGGCGGTGGTGATGGTGGCGGTTGTGGTGTTATTGTTGATATTGGTGGTTTTGTCGGTGGTGTTGTTGCTAGTATTGTTGTGAAGACTGTTACCTAACAGCTCTTGCTGATAGGTTTCTAGTGGTCTCAAAAGAGAGCAGCAGATGACTCCACAGGGGGGTCGGGGCGGGACCCGGAACGGCTGCCGCCGAAGCCCAAATCGCTTGGGACATCCTCACGAAATCGCTCTTGGTGCTCCCAGAACTCCATTCCCGGGCCACATTTTGGATGCCCGGAGCCAACTGTAGGCCACTTCGTGCTCTTCGATTTCCCAGAACTCCATTCCCGGGCCACACTTTGGATGCCCGGAGCCAACTGTAGGCCACTTCGTGCTCTTCAAGTTCCCAGAACTCCATTCCTGGGCATGATTTTGAATGCCCGGAGCCAACTGTAGGCCACTTCGTGTTCTTCTAGTTCCCAGAACTCCATTCCTGGGCCACATTTTGAATGCTGAGGCAGGCTGATGCTGCGGCCGAGGCAGGCTGAGGCTGAGGCAGGCTGAGGCTGAGGCCGAGGCTGAAGGCCTGAGGCTGAGGCTGAGGCAGGCAGGCTGAGGCTGAGGCAGGCTGATGCTGAGGCAGGCTGAGGCTGAGGCTGAGGCTGATGCAGGCTGAGGCTGAGGCAGGCTGAGGCTGAGGCCGAGGCTGAAGGCAGACTGAGGCTGAGGCTGAAGCAGGCTGAGGCTGAGGCTGAGGCAGGCTGAGGCTGAG